CGTTCATCTCTGCCAGTAGCTCAAATTATGCTCTATATGCTTCCCATCGTATTCCTGTGGCTTCCTTCATACTCGATCACTCCTAGTACTGACATTCATATCTGGGATGTGAATTCTCACAGGACTGAAGATGTCTGCATTAGGGTTTAGCTGCGGGCTCTGGAAGGGGCTTGCCATTGTCTGGGGCTGATTAATTCGATGGTTAATGTATCCTCCTTGTGTAAAAGACAATAACTCATCCTTTAATGTATCTAATTTGCTTTTAAATTTACTAATATTTTCCATTTGTACTTCTTGCCACTGTTGTTGATTTTCCTGTAGTTGCTGCTGACTTTCCTGCAACTGTTGGATACTTTCTTCCTGTTTCCTTTCTTGTTCTAGTTGCCACTGCTGTAATCTCTCTTCTTCTTGGATCTGCCAACACTTCTGGTTCCTTTCTGAATAATCTGGAAGATCTAAATTCTTATGAGAAATGGTCAAATGCCCCTAGTGACATATTTCAAAATAGTTCAGATACTATCTTAGTTTCAAGTGACCTTTTTTTTTAATTGTCACCAAAATTGGTAAGCTCAAACATTTTCCCGTTAAAGTCTCAAATAAAGCGTCAGAAGATGATTTACCATTGCAAGTTTAGTGAATTTGGAGTAATAGAGGGTCAGTTTACAGAATCAATTTGTGTTGCTGTGAATATTCAGAGTGATATCTAATTTGTATCGTTGTTAGTTCATATATCAAATCATATATATAGTTCACAAATAGTTGGCCAATCCAGTCGATATATAATTTCTCTCATTAATAGTTCATATAGTATTAGCCAGTCCTATCGATATTTAATTTCTGTTGTTCTTAGTCACATAGATTATTAGCCAATCCTGTCGATATTTCGTTTCTATCGTTGTTAGTTCATAAATTATTACTTACTCCTAGAAGGAGTCAGCTAGTCATCACCATCCACCGCCAACTCTTGGGCTAATCTTTTACCAACGAATAGTGGGATTTACCGTCACATTATAACGCCTCCATGGCTGGAAGGGCGAGCATGTTTGGTGGGATGGGGATTTAGTTTCTATCGTTGTTATTTCATACATCGTTAGTCAACCCTGTCGATATTTACTTTCTATTGTAATTAGTTCATACATCGCTAGCCAATCCTACCGATATTTTATTTCTATCATTATTAGTCACATAAAATATTAGCCAATCCTATCAATATTTAATTTCTGTCAATGTTAGTTCATAAATCATTAGCCACTTCTGTCGACATTTAATTTCTGTCAATCTTAGTTCATAAATCATTAGCCACTTCTGGCGATATGTAATTTCTGTCAATCTTAGTTCATATCTCATTAGCCACTTCTGGCGATATGTAATTTCTATCGTGTTAGCTCATATCTCATTAGCCACTTCTGGCGATATGTAATTTCTATCGTGTTAGTTCATATATCATTAGCCAATCCTGTCGACATTTAATTTCTAATATTGTTAGTTCATAAATCGTTTTCTAATCCTGTGGATATTTAAGTTCTATCGTTTTTAGTTCATAGATCATTAGCTACTTCTGTCAATATTTAGTTTATGTCACTGTTTGTTCATAAATCGTTAGCCAATCCTGTCGATATTTAAGTTCTATCGTTTTTAGTTCATAGATCATTAGCTACTTCTGTCAATATTTAGTTTATGTCATGTTTGTTCATAAATCGTTAGCCAATCTTGTCGATATTTAATTTCTATTAGTGTTAGTTCATAAATCATTAGCCAGTCCTATGGATATTTAAATTCTATCATTGTTAGTTCATTAATCGTCATCTACTCTGATCGATGTTTAATTTCTATCGTTATTAGTCACACAAAATGTTAGCTAATCCTATCCATATATAATTTATATCATTGTTGGTTCATAAATCATTAGTTACTCCTATCGAAATTTAACTTCTATCGCTGTTAGTTCGTAAATCATTATCCGGTTCTCTCGATAGTTATTTACTTTCTATCGTAGTTAGTTCATAGATCATTAGCCCGTTCTCTCGATAGTTATTTACTTTCTATCGTAGTTAGTTCATAGATCATTAGCCAGTTCTCTCGATAGTTATTTACTTTCTATCGTAGTTAGTTCATAGATCATTAGCCAGTTCTCTCGATAGTTATTTACTTTCTATCGTAGTTAGTTCATAGATCATTAGCCAGTTCTCTCGATAGTTATTTACTTTCTATCGTAGTTAGTTCATAAATCGCTAGCAAATCCTATTTATCTTTAACTTTATCGTTATCAGTCACATAAGATATTAGCCACTCCTATCGATATATAATTTCTGTCGTTGTTCATGTTAAATCATAAATCGCTAGCCAATTGTTTACACATTTAGTTTCTATCGTTGTTTGTTCAAAAATCATTAGATAATCCTATCGATATTCAACTTCTGTTGGTTTCAGTCATATAAATCATTAGCCAATGATATCGATATTTAATTTCTTTCGTTGTTACTTCATAAATCGTTAGCCAATCGTATCGATATTTAATTTGTGTCATTGCTTGTTAATATAGCATTAGCTAATCCTATCGATATTTAGTCTCTATCGTTGTTAGTCACATAAATCATTAGATATTTAATTTCTGTAGTTGTTAGTCACATAAATCATTAGCCAATGCTATCGATATTTAATTTCTTTCGTTGTTACTTCATACATCGTTAGCCAATCGTATCGATATTTAATTTCTATTGTTGTTACTTCATAAATCGTTAGCCAATCGTATCGATATTTAATTTCTATTGTTGTTACTTCATAAATCGTTAGCCAATCGTATCGATATTTAACTTCTAATGTTGTTAGTTCATCTTCACATGTACTGTGTATTGGTAAAATCAAATAAATAATTTTATTCTTATTATGTAAATTAGCCTGAAAATTATTTCCAGGTTGGGTTTGGAAGCCTGTTCAATAAATATTTAACTCTAACAGAGAAAAAACAATTAAATCACTAGTGTTATTTAGACTAAGGCCACCTAAGAAAACACACAGTTATTGCTTTCAAAATATAATAAATTTAACGATGTAAATTTACTGAATTGAAACTCGCGTCATATCTTGACATAGACTTAGAATGGGAGAAAAGTTTCATTATCATTATTCTAAAAAATTAAATATCTATGGAAAGCAACCATACGGGGTAAACCAAAGTTCATACATTCAGCAAGTGCCTCTCGATTATCAAACTACATGAATTTCAATAAATAGGTAGAAGAGGAAATTATTTGCTCAAGGTTTTGTTGCATTCTGTTCGCTATTACGCCTAGTTTTGATTTTATTATATTTTAATATGTACAATTACCTTTATGTTTTATGTCTTGTGCACATTTAATTAAATATGATATGCTCTGTATTATGTCGTGTTCAGATTTTAGTAGAGTAACCTCTATATTACGTTCATTTAATATTTCACAAAATATAATATATTTTATATTATGTAGTGCTCAGATTTCTCTAAATATAATTACTTTTTGTTCTGTCATGTTTACCAATTAAAATCATCTCTATATTACGTCGTGTTCAGTATTCACTAGATAGAATAACCTTTATATTACGTCGTGTTCAGTATTCACTAGATAGAATAACATTTATGTTACGTCGTGTTCAGTATTCACTAGATAGAATAATCCTTATATTACGTCGTGTTCAGTATTCACCAGATAGAATAACCTTTATATTACGTCATGTTCAGTATTCACTAGATAGAATAACCTTTATGTTACGTCGAGTTCAGTATTCACCAAATAGAATAACCTTTAGATTACGTCGAGTCCCGTTTAGATTTCAATGGAAGATTTTTTTCTTTGTCTGTTTTTTCAATATCAGAAAGACATCGTTTTTCCAGTATCTGTACGGTTTGCTGCCCTCATGGCCCATCTGATAACATATATTTTGGCGTATAAGGAAATGTGGTTCCGGGAGGAAATCATTAGGACTGCAGTTGCGGCTTTCTTTGTGTTTGTGATGCTTGGAAGTGAGCATGTGAAAAGTTTACATGATTTAGTCACCTCGGAAATAGAAGTTAATCACCGGATTCGACCAACCTATTATATCCTTTTAGCAACTTACGTGATGCTACCGTTTCCTCACAAATACCAACATGTTTTAGCAGGAATCATAGTAACCGTTTTTGAATTACTAATTACGTCTCTAACACATCAGAAGTCACAGTCGGAGAGGAATCTGTTGCCCAAAATGGTAGGAAAACTTCTTAATTATTTAACCAAAAGCTATTGATAATGCTTTCTGTGAACGGTGAATTATAATACTTTTATCAGTGAATTGAAAGTTCTTGTTTTCGATTGGATGAATTGATAACTAATTTAGTTTTAGATTGCAAGCTAGTTAAAATAGCAAATAATTCATTATATTGGTTTAACTGTTTTTTTTTTCTTGAGCTATCAATAATTATGGATGGGTGTTATAGTAATTACTTCTAAACATCATCGATAATTAATTGTAGGCGTTATCTAATTACCTCCAAACACCATCGATAATTAATGATGGGTGTTATTGTAATTACCTTTAAACACCAAACATAACAAGCCTTTTCTAGAACGTATAAATGACGTTTCAGAATGGATGGGTGTTATAGTAATTACTTCTAAACACCATCGATAATTAATGATGGGTGTTATTGTAATTACCTTTAAACACCAAACATAACAAGCCTTTTCTAGAACGTATAAATGACGTTTCAGAATGGATGGGTGTTATAGTAATTACCTCCAAACACCATCGATAATTAATAATGGGTGTTATTGTAATTACCTTTAAACACCAAACATAACAAGCCTTTTCTAGAACGTATAAATGACGTTTCAGAATGGATGGGTGTTATAGTAATTACTTCTAAACATCATCGATGATTAATGATGGGTGTTATTGTAATTACCTTTAAACACCATCGATAATCAATACTGGGTGTTATATTCATTACCTCTAAACACCATCGATAATCAATACTGGGTGTTATATTCATTACCTCTAAACACCATCGATAATCAATACTGGGTGTTATATTTATTACCTCTAAACACCATCGATAATTAATAATGGGTGTTAACGTAATAACATCTAAACACCATCGATAATTAATGATGGGTGTCATTGTAATTACCTTTAAACACTAAACATAACAAGCCTTTTCTAGAACGTATAAATGACGTTTCAGAATGGATGGGTGCTAAAGTAATTACTTCTAAACATCATCGATAATTAATGATGGGTGTTATTGTAATTACCTTTAAACACCAAACATAACAAGCCTTTTCTAGAACGTATAAATGACGTTTCAGAACCTCCATTAAATGTAATTATTTCACTTGGTACATCTCATTTCATTACTGCCTTTTTTTCGTTATTAGTTGTCCACTAGATGGCGATAAAATCTAGTATCATTCCCCTTGTTTTTAACAGTGGTTTCTACTATGTAGAAATCAAAAACAGATTGAGATATCGATCGCTCTGAATATACACCCGTTGAAATTGAATCAATTTATATTTAAATTCATATTTTCCTTTCGGTAGTGAACTGAATGTTATAATGAATAATTTAGACATGTGTGTGTGTGTTTGAAAACCATATGCTATACAATATGCTTATCATATAAACAGGCAGACATATGTTAAAACGTTTGTTAAATTTCTAGTTTAGTTATTGTGGGTTTATTACTTTGCTAATTACATGGTTTCTAATAACACACAACAATATTACAATTAATCCCATTAATTACTGTTTGAGTTCCCTAAGTATTTTACATAGAAAAAATGATTTCATCCCATTTTTGGCCAGTTCTTTAAATTGGATGTTACATGCAATAAAACCCGAAAATTGCACACTCTGATGCAATATGTCAGGCCTACTAGTAGTGAACGGTATAAACATACTCAATAATTCAGTGGTTAACGAAACAATATTCAGTTGTTTATGGCATTAAGCTAAGATCTTTTTTGTTTGTGTGTTTGTTTCTCATAGGTCTGAGATAACTTAATAATATTGCGTATCTGCTCGTTTGATAATTTCTGGTATAAATTATTTCTGAGGAACTTCAGTGACACAAGCCATTTCTTGATT